GACGGATGGAGATAGTAAAACTGAAATAAAAAAGCCTCTTTTTTGCATTAGTATGCAGACTACAGTAGATTAATTTTATAGAACTCGAAAAAAATACTTACAACGATGAAACATGAATGAACAATGTTGATGAATTATTTGTTACGTTTGTTAATTTTTATAATCAAGGAATCGGTCAAATAATACTTTGTGAAGAAGAGAAAAATTTAATTGAAATACATAACTGCAAAATGGCTGTTAGTCATAGAGCCCTTTACTTCCAGACAAAGTAAACCTACCATTAGCACGTGTACTTTATTAGTTACCTTTCGGTTTTGGGCTTATATTAATTGATTGCTAATTGAGAAATATTATAATTGATAGAAGTTTGAAACGTTTTTGCCACTTAATCAAACTTTTGTAAAGATGGTTTATTCAATTTTTGAATACTTTTTATAGTGAATGTTTTATGAAGTACACTGTATATTCGGTTGATAACTCCATATTTTGTTGTTACCATTATCGGCTAAATAAACATTGTAACCAATTGTTACTACGATATCAGATAAAGTTGTCGAACCACTCCACGTTCCTATTAATATGCCTGTTTGGTCATAAATCCAAACTCCAGCGCCCTTCATAATTACCCATAAACGATTACAACTATCAATTGCAGTTCCTGCTGGCGTGTTACCTGCTGTTGTTCGTCCGGCGAATTGTGTCAATGTCCATTCTTGTAGTATTCCTGTCGTTGATAATTTATAAATGTATGAATTTGAATTGGAAGTTGTCAGATAAATTGAATAGTCATCAATTCTACTTAAACCATAAGCAACTGATATATTCAGCACCAGTTTATTAATTAGCGTATAATTTATGGATGAATTAATTTGATAGAATAATACCGATGAATTTGATGGTAATTGCGTTACTAGTACCATAACGGTATTATTGTACAAAAAAACCGCTTGTTTCGGTGCTCCAAAATACGATGATGGACCTGACAGATCTGTGACTAATGATACATTTTTTGTATAATACACGTCAAGTGCGTATGATGTAGAATTTCCCGAACCAACATAATAAAGACCATTAACATAGCTTAACGACCGAGATTGAGATTTAACCGTTGCTGTATGCATTATTGTTAAATTCTTTGGATTCATTTGTATTAATGTATCATTCTGTGAAACTGTTACAATATAATTATTGTCGTCAATTACTAAAAACGTCGGTTGACTTATCACTTGAGTTGGTTGTTTTGTGGCAGTTTTAACTTTGCTCAATAGCCACGTGAGATTTGAACAACAGGGAAACGTATTATTAATAATTGTTCGATTGGGTAAGGATTGAAATAGATATAATGTGGAATTTGGACTATCAACAACATCAAAAGATGTTGGAAATTGAAAAAATACTTGACAGGAACCATTTGAATAACTATTTAATGCAGCGTAAGATGTTGACTGGTTTTGTGTCATTAATAGAGAACAAAGGCAATTTGTAGCTGACGTGGCGTTGAATCGTACGGAAACGTTCTCAGATATATTTGTATTAATTAGATCAGCTTGATTTATCTGACCAATTCTCAAGCTTCTAGCATAGTGGAGGAATAAGGCCAGAAGAACGGAAACAAGCATAGTTTTTTGGTTCATGGGAGAATGATAGAGTGTTTTGTGAATATAATGATGTTCACTCAAACTGAGTGACACAGTTAGAGTTGTAGAAGAAGAAAATCTATTCTCTGAAGTTGACATATAATGGCTCTATTGAGAGAAATCGAATGACAAAATGAAAAAAAAATGAAAAAAAATTTCAAGAGTCTACTTCAATTAAAACCCAACATATTTTAAGTTTTTTATGCGTTCTTCTTGAAATCTTTCTTTCTGGTTGACAATCAGATATGATGAATAAGCCAATGTTTTTTCAAAAACGCCTGTATTTTGAAAAAAGAAGTTCAATATGGGTGATGATTACTGTTACGTGATAGTCAATAAAATTCAACTTCTGTAAGAATTTTCTGACTGGCGTGAGATAAGGTAATTTAAAGTAATTGACGTATGAAAGACGTGGTTTAACGTAGACTGAATTTCCTAAACAAGATAAGGTGTTCTTTCTCTTGTGAATTGATTTGAGGAGGTAATATATGTTTAGTGAGCGTTTTTTTGTTTCCTCACCATCAACTTTCTGTTACGAAAAAATCTATTTGACACTAAGAAGTTTCAATAGAGCTCCACAAAAGTATATTTCCTATTGAATGTACTTAGAGTAAGTGGCGCTTGGAAAGAAGTTGGACGGGTGCAAAAGGTTATTTACTTAAGTTCCTTTCTAATGTACAACAAATAGAGAATAACTTCACTTATACACCGAAAACTAAAGTGTCACATTTTTGTGTAGCTGTGAAATGCATCGCACGCTACGCTATACAATACAATACGCTAGGAGAAAATTGTATTCCAAGATTTTCGGTCTCATTTCATAGGTCGCGGTTGTCAAGCTTAACTTTCGAGTCTCAAATGAGAGTCAGCTGTCAGGGAAGGCACCTGTCTTTGTTTTATTGGACCCGAATAGATTTTCAATACTTTTCCCATATATTTCATTTCACTCACTTTTAAAGCAGTTGTAGACATATCTGACAGTTCCCGCTGAATACTTATTCACTAGGTATGCACCGGTACCAGTATACTGGCACCCAAATGCTTTGTAATTCAAAGAGTTTGTTATACAAATACTTTTTCACACAAACGAGTCGGACCTAGATAAAGTGATATAGTTTAATGCGAGTTTGTGTCGATTAATATTTTTCTAAGGGCTTTGGCACGATACAACGCGTAGAACGGCATCTAAAAAAATGTTGGAATCCTGCGTTGGCACGCAGGAGTTTGCAAAAATCCTGCTGGTGTCAGGTATATCCTGCAACTTTTTTCGACCGAGTAACAACACAGAAAATTGTTCTACACGTTGTTAAACATATCCTGCAGGTTTTCTCAACATACTTACTTTTCAGAAATTTTCCTGGAGAATTTCGGAGGATTCTTACGACATACACCCTACAGAAACGTTTTCGTGCGTCTGTCGGGGATATCTCGCAGGATTATTCATAGCGCTAACTCTGCAGAATTGTTTCCTATCTGGTATCGTTTGCATCACTAAGGTTAACTCAGTACGGTGACCCGGGAAGGCATATAGGATTGTATTTCTGAACAAAGAAACGGTGTCTTCCACGGAAACTCTTACAGGGCAGTACGCAAGCTTTTTTCCTACGAGATCTGTAAGGATTTATTGATCCTTTATTCTCTGTGCCTATCCTGTGGTAATTTGTAATCTTTTCTCCAATGTCTGTCCAGGTTGACCGTTGAGGAACTTGTGTGTATTGTTACAAAGTTACAAAAGCTTTTCTCATGCCCAATAAACTTCTAGAAAATGTATACCATAATTTTTTTTTAAAATTTTTTGCAAAAAATCTTTAATTTCTTATTGATGGAAGAAAATGAAATATTCCTGACCTAAAAACAGATCTTTTCCTCTAGTTTGGTTTTGTACACATGAAAATGCGTGTTAAAGTCAAAATATTGCAGTAATTGCCTGTGAAGGATTATAGTTCCTCCACGATCGATCTGGGCAGACATTGATGAGAAAAGATTGCAGAATGCCGCAGGATAGACATAAAGGAGAAAGTCTTTCTTCCAACGAATGAAATCCTGACAGATCTCGTGGGAAAACAATCTGTGGACTGAATACGTCAAAAAGTGCAGTAATGTTTCTTACTTTTACGTAGGACATTTTTTCATGCTACTTCTCCGCGAAAACTGTGGGGTCCCCTCGGGAATTGCAGCGAAAAAACATCTTCGTAAAGGTAATCGTAGGATTTTCTGACACGCACAACCTGCGAGTTTTCTACGCAAAATTCTGTAGGATCCTGCAGGAATGTTAAATGTTTTTTACTTTCGACACTTGCATTCATTTAATTAGTGCTCATAACATCCAAAAATAACGAGAAAAATCTAATTTTACTAGTTTTAGTCCTACTTTACTTTACAAAATACTTACTTTTACGTCGGTCAACTCGTGTCGTGTTTAATACACAACTTCACTGATAGCAAGTAAAATATATACAAATGGCTAGTATGAGTACATAAAGTGCTCAGCAACATTTTTCTTTACATAGTCGTACGAAATAAATTTCTCTGTCGTGATAGGTACTAAGTGCGTTTACCCAATATTTAGTTTGAATCATTCTTTTAATTTATATTTATTTGGTAAAATATCATTAAGAACTTGTATATTTTCCGAATGATTCAGTAAATAGACTTGTCGACAGACTTTTGATGCTTCAGTATAATAAAAACGAGCCGTATCTAATTGCTTCATGCGTTCATATAGTACACCAATATTTGCGTAAACTCTACCTATATCGGGATCATTTTTTGTTAAAACTTTAGTGAAAACTATTAATACATTTTGATAATACTGGAGTGCATGATCGTAGTCCTAGTTTTCGAGGTAAACATTTGCAATACTAAAGTATTTGCTTGCTACGCCTTGATCATCTTTTGGCAAAGTTTGTTCTTCTATTTTTACTGCTTTCTGATGATTTGCAAGAGCAAGTTCATAATTCTTTTTCATACAGTAAATTTCACCCAGTCTACCATATATCACACCTGCATTTCTATGGTTTTCGTTACTATAATTTAGAATACAAATTTTTAAAGGTTTTTCATCGTATTTAACAGCTAAATCGAAATCACTCTTTTCTGTATATGCTGATCCTAAATGTGTATAAACAACTGCAAAATAACATGATCTTGAGCATTACATCAATTTGTTTTTGATGATAACTAATTGCTAAATCATAACCACACTTCTTCTCATTAATGGTAACATTTGGCAAATAAAAGTTTAGCATTTGATGATAAAGTATTTAATAAACGTTTGTAATAATGTTCAGCTTGTCATTCTGATTCAGTTCCTGTAGTAATCATCCAAGATCAGCTAGATCAGTTTCTTCACTAAGATTGCTTTTCTTATACGAATAGACTTCGTTCAAATTGTGGTCGTTTTCACCACATAACTGAAGATGCACAGTCCAAATGCCACTATCTTGACTTATGTTTCTTATTTTAAAAATTGTGCCACACATAAATAATACTTCTTGCTCTGAAGATATATAACTTAAATGTGAAACAGAAGCATACGGTTTAACTAATTCCAAACGTTGGATCTTTTAGGAAAAATGCTATAACTCGTCTAAACAAAGCGATTGTTTTCAAAGACTGTTACCAAAATACTTCGAGTCAGCTGCTTTATCCACTTTGGAAGTTTCATCGGGCATTTCGAAAGACAATGGCTTACTTTATGCTAAAACAGCTGTCTTTATCATGCAAAGTCTTGAGAATTCAATAAAGAAATAAAAGAAGTTGGAAGAGAAGGAAGAGTAAAAGTAAAGAATAGGACGACTCGGTATATCCTCAACTATTCGCAAAGAACGACTAACTGATGTTATTAACTATTCACTATCTTTTAGAATATAAGAAAGTGAAATAGAGAAAAAGGCGAAATAGTTTTTTCGTTTAGTACTGTCCTTTCTAAAATACACTACCATCGGCTACTTTTTGACGAGTCCCATGAGTCCCAGGACTAGCACTCAGTGACTCTTGATAGTCTTAACGATGGATGGACTATGGATAATCGACCATGCGGAGTTTCGTGGCAATATCTGCTTTTAGAAAACGTTTCAAGTTTTACAAAAATTAGAGTTTTCAGGCTGTTTTAACCTAATATT